TTTTTTAATTTTTTTTTTTCAATGTTTATTTATTTTTGGGACAGAGAGAGACAGAGCATGAACGGGGGAGGGGCAGAGAGAGAGAGGGAGACACAGAATCGGAAACAGGCTCCAGGTTCTGAGCCATCAGCCCAGAGCCTGACGCGGGGCTCGAACTCACGGACCGCGAGATCGTGACCTGGCTGAAGTCGGACGCTTAACCGACTGCGCCACCCAGGCGCCCCCGTGGTGGCATTCTTAAAACCGGAAGCAATATGTGAAAGGAGACTGAAGAACCAGAAAAACTGTGCTTCATCCACCCTTAAATCTTCCTGAAAATCGAGGTAAGAAAGGAAGATGAAAAATTCATTCCTTTTGACAAATGAGTCTTTAACCTACGGAGTGGTTCATTTTGAAAAGGAATTCGATTCTGGGCCCACGTATCACACATTCAAGATAAAATGTGTGCTCTCACCTCCCACTAAATACGTTGCTATGACTTTTAAATGGAGAGAACATTTAACAAGAGGCAAACCAGGGAAGGGGAGATCTAACTCAGACATCAATAATTCATTTATCAGAAATAGGAGTAGCGGTATGAAATGCCAGGAGACTCTTTCATTCGCAGGGAGGCATTTCTATTTTAAGCCTAGAACAACGCAGTCACCTGTATTCAGCAAGCCAATACAAATGGAGGCAAACCTGAACGGGAGGACACATTTTGTGGTCTCCTCGAGTACGGCTATTGCTATAGCACCTGTTACGGGGGATGTGAAAAAGTGACAAAAAAGGAATCTTTACAACTTTTGTACTTCAGAGGTGATTTCCGTCACCCCAAAGCGTCAGCACTGGACATGTAACCGTGTCAGTCTAACAGAGATGATTGGCATGGAGTTTTGAGGGTGCAATCTCTTGGAGTCCTAAAACCCATCAGGCATTAGAGCTTCGTAAGTCCTCTGCTAATTAAACCCGTTGGTGAGCTGCCCAAATTATTTCATCCTCATATCCCCCAAGCATTTAGCCCAGAGCCATTCACCAAGTAGGGTCTCGGTGAATACCTGATGGGTGAATGAACAAATGCGGCTAAGTATGAAATAATTCCAGATACATACTGGTCAGACCATATAAAGAGGAGATATTCGCATATCGTGGCCCTCAACTATTGCTTTCTGATGACGATTAGAAATTCCTCCCCTTCACTATCATACAGCAAATTCAAAGATTCATGCTCTGCTGAAGGAGATGGGGAAACGGAACTGAAGAAAAGCAGATTTACTGTAGACTGAAGGAGCCACAGCCCTCAGCACCTAAAGCAACAGAGAAACCTACCGAAACTTCTAACCCTGGAAATAAACGAAGACCTCCAAGTATTAGATTAAATTAGAAATGTTCATATGCACATATGTGTTGAGCTGATTGTAATTTTTAATTGATTATTTTTTTAATGTTTATTTACTTTTGAGAGAGCGAGAGAGAGACAGAGTGGGAGTAGGGGAGGGGCAGAGAGAGAAGGAGACACAGACTCAGAAGCAGGCTCCAGGCTCCGAGCCGTCAGCACAGAGCCCGACGCGAGGCTCGAACTCACAGACCACGAGATCATGACCTGAGGCGAAGTCGGACGCTTAACCGACTGAGCCACCCAGGCGCCCCTTTAATTGATTACTTATCAAGAAGCAGATATAGGAAGAGAGCACACAATTATAATAACGGCTATAATTATCTAGCACCTAATATGTAGTCAGTTTTATTATGGTGTTTTACATGTTTTACTATTCGTTAGAAGCATTATTATGATTTTAGGGGCGCCTGGGTGGCGCAGTCGGTTAAGCGTCTGACTTCAGCCAGGTCACGATCTCGCGGTCCGGGAGTTCGAGCCCCGCGTCGGGCTCTGGGCTGATGGCTCAGAGCCTGGAGCCTGTTTCGGATTCTGTGTCTCCCTCTCTCTCTGCCCCTCCCCCGTTCATGCTCTGTCTCTCTCTGTCCCAAAAAATAAATAAATGTTGAAAAAAAAAATTAAAAAAAAAAAAAAGCAGCATTATTATGATTTTAGAGATTAAAAAAAAGCACTAAAGCTCAGAGTAGTTAGGGCTAAAGATTATGAAGCTAATTCAGGAGAACCAAGGGTAACTGTCAACTCTTCTAAACTATAAACCCGCTGCTAATTTCCTGATGCCAAGTGACTTCCATTCAAACAGAATTATCCAGCTACAGATCCATGCTTAAAGACAGATCCATCAATCACATCTATAATTACGGTCTAATGAGCAGAGAGGATATCTTAACCCCAAATGCCTGACGACACGCTTGTGTTTGGCCAAAAAGAAAATCAGGCGGCTGAGAGAAGGGAGGGGGACATCTGAGGCCCCAGGTCACTCTCAGAAAACAAAGGGAGGGGACGCTGGGGCGGTGTCCCTCTGTAAGTGCCCTGTTTCACTGTCAAGACCACAGATGTAAGCACACGTCTAGAACAATGCCCGTGTGCGCCAATAGCTAAACCCACGCTGCACTCAACAAACCACGGACGGTACTTCGAATGGGTCAAAACAGGACACGCTAAAATCTGCCAGAGTGAGCAGGACCCTGGTCATGCTTCTTGAAAAAACAGGCCTTGGGGCGAGCCAAGTTTGAAAGGAAGTCTCGCAAAAGATATGGTTTTCACAAGGCAGCCCGTGAAAAGCCCTCAAAGCCAATACTCAAAGAACCGTCTGTGTTAACGACAGACTTCGTGGTCGGCGACGTTGGCCGCATGTCAGACACACCCTCCGAGAACAGTCACCGTCACCACGAGGGTTTCAGTGCAGAAAATCACCACATGTAGATTCAAATAAGACCGTCGAGGGAACAAAACGTGTTTGGCTTCTACCTATCGCCCCTCTTGTCCCTCGACATCCTGCACAAATACACTCCGGGTGTGAACATGATCTAGTCTTGCCTGTGTATTTCCTGTTTCTCTTTGCTCTGCACACATGTTGACGGGATAAATTAAGCCAACGGATATAGTATAGTAGGATTCCCCTACGTGCTTGCCTTGAAAACCCAAATTTCTTCCAATAATGCCACTAACATATGAGACAACAATTTAAGGATACTGTGAAATTTGCACGTGTCAATGCACAATTTTGCCCCAGAAACTCCAGGTGAACGGAGCAAACGCACCTAGCTCTGTGGGACTACACGAACCCTGCAGGGATGCACACCCCAGGATCACCATCGTCCACGCTTGTCCACACCTGCAGCTGCTAGTCCCTCTTGGATTTCAAGCACCTCACCTTCCGCTTCGCGGTACCTGGCAAGTTGTCATATTTCCGAAGACCATCCTGTGGCGGGGGGGGGGGGGGGGGGGTGTCGTCTGTTCTGTTTACTTTTCCCCTCACCCCCCAACTGGCTAATTTTCCTCTCTCTTCTTTGTTCTTTTTCAGAATTTTAGTCTTTACCTCCGTTGTTTTCTCTTGCACACAGAGCGGCAGGCACCTCAGCAGGAGTCGACGGCATGCATTGTCTCAAATTAGAACCCTTTGTGTGAAACTCACTATAACTTTAAGCAATGTGATCTGGACAGGAATGACTAGGACTGAAAGAAAACTATCCAGTGTAATTTATGTCCCTTTCTTCTTTTGTTTAGAAGGTTCTGCAAATTCTATCCAAATCGTGATATATATTACTGCTTTCGCCACTGAACCCGAACTGTACCATTTACTGAATTATTAGCAACCAGCATATTTTCCACAGTAACATTTTGAGGCTTCTTTGTAGGTGGTGAAAAGAGAAAAAGAAAAAGAAAAAAATAGAAAACCCCACGTACAGTCACAATTATCTAGGTCATTTAGATGGTTTTATCTAAACTTATTGACTGACTTAATCAAATAATACTGAGAAATTTTTCCCTAAAGAAAGACAAGGGCTGGAAATAGCACATAATAAATGGGCAAAACACTTCTCTTTGCTACTTTTGAGATCCTAAACTAAATCATGTAAGTAAAAATTGAAATGATAGTATTTAAATCACAGCATTATCCTGGAGGAGCTTTGCGGTTAAAGGAAAAAAAAGCTAATGTGATCTAGAGATTAGAAATATCTACTAATCCTTTAAAGAATCTGGGTCATCTTAAGCAAGAAAAACCATTCCCACTTACTTTCTCAAGAATGTTCAGATATCCCAAGGTATCGAACGGATGTGCATTTTCATTTGCTCTCACAAAAACTACTTTACTAGCTGGAGAGTATGAAAGTGGTTAAATGGGTTTCTATGGCTCTTGACTGTGAGGATATAAAGGGTAATGGGTTCTGTACACGGCAAACCTTACAGGTATTTCATGTATATTAGCAGAAAACACAATCACTACAGAAGAAAAAAGAAGCAAGTAAGAAAGCCCCTGGGAGAGACCTTAAGCACGGCAGTCAGTGAAATTTGTTGAATTTAACAGAATCAAGTAACTCTTTGGGGGCATGCTTTGTTTTGCCTCTCATTTTGAACCCCTGCCCCAGCCCCCCAAAATGGGTCACAGGCCAATTACCTCTGGGGGGGGGGCAACATACCCCAACTGTGCCCTCGAGAGATGGAAACACTGAGTCTTGCCCCACGGTTTTCTCTGCAACCACTCTTACAGTATAGACCACCCCTTTTCACGACCCAGAAGCCTCAGCACAAAAAGACACTTGTTCACCTTGGAGCAAATTTACGGATCATTTGTTACCAAGGATTTCCAAGAAGACACTCCCCTCAGCAGGAATAGAAAACAGAAATCTCTGGCGGCCACGCACCAGCCACCCCTCCGCCAGGCCTTACTTGTTCTCGTTGCTGGCATCGTAACGAGGCATTGGGTCCAGATCATTCCCGTTCACGTCACAACTCGCCAGGGCATCCTAGAGCCACAGAGGAGAGAGAGGGCAAGGAGGAGACAGACGTTTAGTAATTAGCCATTAATCTGAAGACTCATGCATTCTTAAACACATTTCTGCAAGCGAGTAATTAGATTAAATAATACATTCAAAAAAAAAAAAGAAAAAAAAAAAGAAAAAAAAAATTAAAAAAAAAGAAAAAAAAGGGGCGCCTGGGTGGCGCAGTCGGTTAAGCGTCCGACTTCAGCCAGGTCACAATCTCACAGTCCGTGAGTTCGAGCCCCGCGTCGGGCTCTGGGCTGATGGCTCAGAGCCTGGAGCCAGTTTCCGATTCTGTGTCTCCCTCTCTCTCTGCCCCTCCCCCATTCATGCTCTGTCTCTCTCTGTCCCAAAATAAATAAACGTTGAAAAAAAAAAAAATTAAAAAAAAAAAATAATACATTCATGGTCCGCTGATGTCAGGATGCCTTGTTCAGTAATAATCAGTGTCATATTTTTCTCCTTAAGGTCAAGAAATACTCTCCACAGACCTAGGAAGAACACAGACCATTCTTGCCAATACATCTTCCCTCATATCTAGAATGGACCCCTCACTCGATTCCTTTGAAGATGTCCGCAGGGACTGCCTTTTCGGTCGAGAATTCTTGGGCTTTCTAGAAGCAAAGTGATTTATTTCCCATGAGTTCCCTCTCTATACCTTATTTCACTTCTTGGGTAAGTTCTTTAAAATTCGAAGATTTTTGAAGGCAATTCACAAACAGTTGGCAAGCCAATTAAAAATCAATGTTAGAAATCTATTCTAGTCGGTATCATGGTACCTCTATTAGGCAGCATTTGCCTGGTTTCAGAGGTCGTATCTACTATAAAAGAATCTGTACCTCAGACTTTTCAGTAATACCCAATCACCTTTTGCTCCAACCAAAATAATGAACAGTTTTATCATATGTCAAGCCTTCAAAAGAAGACAAAAGTAGCTGTGAAATCAAAATTGGATCTGTTCGCTTTTATTTTTAATTATTTTTTTTAGATTTTTAAGTTTATTCATTTCTTTTTAGAGAGTAAGTGAGTAAGCAGCGGGGGTGGGAGGGAGAGAATCCCAAGCAGGCTCCGTGCAGCCAGCACAGAGCCCCAACATGGGGCTCGAACTCACGAACTGCGAGATCATGACCCGAGCCCAAAACTGGAACTGGACACTCAACCAGATGAGCCACCCAGGTTCCCCTGTTTGCTTCTATTTTTATTATTTGTTTTTATTTTAGAGAGAGAGAGAGAGACTGGGTGCAAGCGGGGGGCAGAGAGAGAAAGAGACAGACAGACAGAAGCCTAAGCAGGCACTGCACTGAGTATGGATCAATCCGATGCAGGGCTTGATCCCATGACCCTGAGATTATGACTTAAGCTGAAATCAAGAGTCAGACGTTCAGCCAACTGACTCACCCAGGCGCCCTTAGATCTGTTCGCTTTTAAAAGCAATTGTGAAAAATCTCCAAATTTCTAAATTTCTAAATTCCCAAAAAGAAATTACCAGCTTACTCCATCACTCAAATTTATATCACTGTAGGTAGCACTAATTTAGAATGCTCTGGATTTTCCAATGCTTTAGGGTAATGTCTACGGTATTGGTAAAAGTAAATGTTATCTTTGTTCTCTATCTTTATCAAGGCTCTTGTTTCTGAAACTAACTTGTGGTACAGAGTCTGATGTCTGGAGAAATTAAGCAAAATGCACAGGACATATAAAGGTAAGTCCCTGCTTCTCGTACAAAGGCGGCCCCGTAGCCCCCCCGCAGTGGTCACTAGAGCATCGAGTATAACTTCCTGATTTTCCTTGTAAGGAAACAGAGGCCTAAGACAGGTTAAGTAACTTGGCCAAAGGCGTGAAACAAACCAGCCTGTGGAACCAAGACTGGAACCCGGGCCATCTGCCTACACCCCGACCCCCCCGTCCAATGGGCTTTTTCTCTACACTTCACCAGCTCCAACATCAAGACAAACTGAGAAGGCACCGGTACCGCTAATCACAGATACATTCTGGAGAATTCTTCCCAGGAGGAAAAACTGAAAAAAGGCAAGGAATGCAATCGCAATTAGAGTAAAGCTATCTGTGTTTACGCAAATACATTCCTAGGCGGAGGGGAGCAGGAACACCCTATAAAAAGCACACTGTGCGTGACAGGAAAGACTTCTCTGCTGAGAGAGGTACCCACAGTTCTGTTCTCTTCTAGGACCCGGGCTCACTCACTGTGGCCTTCAGGCCTCCATTTCTCCCCTATCATCCGAGGAGACTGAACCGAAATTTCTTTCTAGCTCTCAAATTCTTTGCTGTGAAGAGACAGCGATGTCTGGGTGTGCTCAGCGGCAGGGTGAGAGCAGCCGCTCAAATGGTTCGTTCAAATAAGAACTGAATGAATTTGCAGTTCCTCCCTCTCTCTCTTTTTTAACCCGAGGGACAGTCCTCTAGTTTCGGGGCGATCGTTTCAATATTTCATTGTAAAAAATAAATCTGTGAAGTCCCTTGGCGGAATTTTTTTTGAAACCAAAAGGGCAACAGGGGGTGGGACACCGTGAGGGAAGGTTCTGGCGCAAAGCAACACGGGGGGGGGGGGGAGTTGCGTGTGAAGGAAGGTCTTCCTAGGTCAGAGACAGGGGTGACTGTGAGCCAGAGCTGGTTTCGGAGGCGCCAAGGGACTGACTCGGAGGTCTTTTGTTTGCAGAGATAAAAATGGAGTCTCTTCAGGAAAATTCATTTAAGTGTCATGACGTGAGACGGAGCACATGAGAAGGCAAAGTTGCGGAGGATGGGGCCGTTTCTCCCGAAATGGTTTGTCAGTAGGTAAGAGAGAGACGCGGAGGAGAAATGGTCACAGGGGCACAGGGGCACGGTGATCCCGGGGTGCCCAGAAGCCAGGCCTTTCCATGCCGAAGGAGACAGAGATACAGGGAGATGAAATTTCAAGAAGGCATCATCACCCTGTCTCTGAAATGGGCCTCGGGGAAAAGGTCAGGTCCTTTCTGAGTGAGCCCAAGACAACATTCCTCAGGGCCACTCTGTGCCCACCAGTGACTGAGGAACATGCGAGAGAGAGAGAGAGAGAGAGAGAGAGAGAGACAGCAGGCACACCAGGAGGAGAAGTCCTTTGTGCTAACGCGCACGGGGAATGTACGGGCATGCCCCGTCTCGCAATTCTCTGCCAGCTCAGAGCACAGTGTGACGGGCTGGGCCTGCTGAAGTCATGAACCGGAACATGGAAGGCAAAAGTCTGAAGCGATGTGGTCCTCCCACTCACATAGCTCAGGGTGGGTCCCCTCTGCAAGCGGGGGACAAGGCTTCCCACCCTGGCCCACGACTTTCCCTCCTTTAGGGTCAATAAGGGTTCTGCAAGGGGCAGCTGACTTTGCCACGATTTAGAGCTGCTTGTATTCCCGGGGATAGGAGAGGAAGCTTGCAAGCGGACAGAAAAGTCACCAATTTTAAGGGAAAACGTTTCTTCAACACGGACACGAAACTATAACTTAGGAAGACTCAACGCGACCCGGCCTTTGGAATCAAGAGGAATGGGGGAGGAAGGGAGGGGGAAGGTGGGTGAAAGCAGTTGAAGGGTACGAGCCACACAGGGGTATCAGTGCTCCTGGGTGGCAACAGAAAAGAGGTCCGAGGGAAAGTCAGAAGACATGGGTCTGAGTGGGATCCACCTGGAGTTTCTGCTGAGCCCGCATGGGAATCAGGGCTGTTATCTGCAGATCAGTGGGGGATCGTTGCGGGCTCTCTGTAACAAAAGAAATATTTCAAAGAGAACCCTAAGCTGTCACGCAACACAAATTGAGGCCAGACAGAGAATGGCATTGTTGCGAGATAATTGTAGCACTTTCGACAAAACTTGCAAAGGGGAAGCCAATGGAAGGAATGATCTTGGAGAGTAGAGGACAGAGGGTTCACTGATACATTTCCAGGCAGTGGATATCACGGTGGTAAAGGAGACCCAGAGGCCCTAGGGGCAGAAACTGACCCCAGTGTTAGGTGGGCACCGGGTATCGAAACCAGGATTTTCAGGGCAGGTACTGAGCCTCAGCACTTTCACTAGGTCCGTGGTCTTGGGCTCATCCTATACTCTCCAGGAGTCCTGGAATCACTATTCCTTCCTAAGGAACTGACTGCTGCTTCCTAGGAGTAGCAGGGACGTGATCATTATTGTCCTGTGAAAACGGAGAGGAAGAAAGGGACCGGCTGGATAACTTGAGAAAAGTTCTAAGCCCGCTTTTCTCTGTACAAGAGACAGAGCGCGTTGCCTGGCTGCGTGGACGGATCACTGAGAAGAGCGGTCATTGTCAGTGGTGACTGGTATTGGTGGTGGGGGTTTCTGCTGCCTTCTCACCTGCATTTTGTCATCAGAACATCAAAGGCACCTGCAAGTGGAAAGTGGGGTCTCCTGCTTCCCGCGTTCGGAGGGCGTGGCTCGCCTAAGACGAAAGCACTACTCGGAGCCTACCGTCTCCGTTAGCTGCATTTTCCCGCCGTAGCCCCCCTTTTTGCTAATCCTGACACGAGTCCCCTTGTTTCCACGGGGGAGGGGAGGTGCTCCGACCACAGCCCACACTCACATAGTTCTGCAGCAGGTCCGGATGGGTTCTCTCGATGCCATCGTCCAAGATGGTCACCACGATGTTCTTTCCCGTGTAGCCTCTCTTCCAGGCTCCTTCGATATTCATGTCTGATTGGCAGGGATGCGTGTTGTCGCTGCAGTGCTATGGAAGGAAGACGGAGAATCAGACCGCGCGGATTACCGATAACTGGAAGGTGCGCGAATCATCTGCGGGTCGAGATCGTGCACTGAGTTAGCAGAAATCCGGTGCCCGCCCGCAGAGCCGGAGCACGGGCCTCTAGCACAGTAACAGGAGGAAGTAGGAAGGGTGGATGTGGGGAAGGCAAGCGAAAGAGAAATCTCTCCCGCCGGCTCTGCCCTGTCCAAATACCGTACATCCTTTGGGAAAAATGGAATGAAAGAAAAGTATATCCCGACAGCAGAATAACGGATGTATCCCTTGATTGTTAGCATGAATCGATGGCACACGGGAAGGCATGGTGACATTTCATTTATAAACTCAACCTAGGTAACTAAAGAACATGTATTTTATAATTTCTTCCCCAGGCACCTGGAAACCAGGCTAGCCAAAAAAA